TGAGAAAACTTCAGTGTGTCACAATGCCTTGAAACGAAAGAGATATTTGTACGGAAAAAAAATTATAATTGGTAGTGGGTCCCATATAGCCAAATTACGGCCCTAATCCAATCACTAAATTGCCATATGCTCTGTTCTAAGCAATCAGCCAGTTCCCTACCACGATTCTCCAGAAATAACTGTGCTTTGCAGTTGCCCAGCTGGGCATTTAAAATGTTCCACAAAGGTCTGGTGCCACCCATTTGGTGGAAAAGGACACTGCATCATCACGGGCCTTGCAAGTTCATCCAATTTTTATTTTTGAGACCAAATGTTGAAAAAGAATAACAAACGCAGTCACAAAACTCTGAAAATGTGAATAACTGCAAAGTACCATTGTAGGTATTTGTAGGGAGCACTAATGGAACCGTGAGAAAAGTCACATATCTCCAGGTTTGCCCCATAATTTATTCATTTTAAGACAAAGATCTATAATACATATAAAATGCACTCAAACTATTAGGCAACATCGACTTTCCAGTCTAAAACTGGGAGCAGTATTCATTCCTTGCCCACACAGAAGCCTTTACAGATGCATCAGAAAACAGACACCCATTCTTTGAATGAATGTCCTCTTCTCTTGGGGATTTAAAAAAAATATATATAAAAAATTCCACTCAACCCCCCCCCCCACTTCAATATTCTCTTTTTATAAAGTGTATATCCCAGCAGGCCTAAAGCAAGACTGGACTGAGAGACATATAGGTATTAACCGATAACGATGCATGTGTTATACATTTGACTGTAGTAAAAAGATGAGAATACTCCTAAAACCAGGGACCGGAATCTGAGTCTTCTGCTCCACCAGTGCCTGAAGCACAGGCACAAAGCTCCCTGTTCCTCCTGCCCTTCTCCAGAGTGTACCCTGCCCCACACTCAGCTGCCAAGGGGCTCAGGATCCACAGCACCGGTGGAGAGACCTTCTCTCTGTGCTTGGGAGACACTCCTCAGATGTGGCAAAGTGGTGGGTTTCCTCCACCTCCCAGGGAATGCTTGAAGCACAGGACAAAAGCTGCCACCAACAATATTGGATACACACAACTCTTCTCACAGATTTCCTACATGAGGTGGAGCCCAGCTTCTATGGTTTTCCTTGCTCACCCAACAGCACTCGCCATCCATTATGGTCACTGGACGGAGTGACAGCTTTCAAACCAGGTAATAAACAGTACTTTGCATTGTACTCTGAGGTCTTCAGAGGAACCTGCATCTTCCATTAGCTGCATCAGATCAGTAGTTATACTGGGCCAGCCGAAAAGGACCTCTGCTGCAGAGCAAGTGTCTCTATGGTCTCTGATCACTTTCTTTTGTGTTTTTGTTTTCTTTTAAACAAACACTAGATTTTTGATACTTCAATTGAAATACGAAAAAAAAAAAAAGGTATTTTATCAACATTTAAAAGTAAAAGTATCACAGTGGAAGGAAATTGGTTAAAAGCTTTCTCCTTTTGTCCAAACACTCAGAAAACAAAATTGTCTTCAAATACTATAATTTTCACAACACAGTTCAACAATATTCTCTACCTAGCTGCTGAAAACGTGACTGCAGAGTACAATAAGAACTCAGAACATCTTGCTGCATTAATTAAATCCCTGTCTTTCATAACGACAATTTATTCTGAAGTACTTCAAATTTCCCAATATCAAATCCTCTCAGTCACACTATGAACTTTGTAACATATTTCAAAAGCACACTCTTTGAATTTCACTGAAATAATTCAGCTCAGGTACTGCATGTATTTATGTATCACTGTATCTGATCAGTCTATATCATATAGACCTAGCATATTTGCCTGTTTGCAAATGTAAAATGTATCCTCTCTGAAACTACTACAGACACTGAAGTATATTAGGAGCCTTAGATTTGGCCTATTTGCACAAAACTCAAAGTCATGCCAAGGCAAAGCAGAACACTCGGGTCATTCTCCCCTTCAGGTCTACTTAATAGGGCTGTTTTGTTTTTACAGAACAAAAGAACAAAGCATAAGTATGTAATTCTTATGACATGCAAATGCTGTACTGTTTTCCTGTAAGTATGGATAACATTCCTCCTCACATTTTTATTTGTTATCCAATTAATAGATTAACATTAGTACAACTTGTCACCTCTGTGCTTGAGGAGACGGTGAAGAGAGTCATTTCTCGGTTTTAGCAGGGTGAGAATACTCTGGGTGGAGGAAGAAGCACATGTGCGTTATTTTTCTCACAAAGTCAGGTCACAGAGCATAGTTTGGCTGGCTGTTCACTGGGACAAAAAACATTATTTGCAAGACTTTAAATCAGCAACACAATTAATTCTTAATATTAATTTTCTTCTTATGGTATTATTTTATAAATAAATAATGTGAATTAGTATTTAATTGTTTCAACCCAAGATTTTAATTTTTCACCTATCAGTATAGGAAATCTCTTGGCAGCTCTGGAGGCTGTGTGAAAATTAAATTTTTTCTTTAATTATAAATTGGTTTTGCTGTAATAGTGGAGGCTTTAATTGAAATATTTTAATTAAGTGCTTGCAGCAACACAATGCTGGCTTTTTGCTGGAGACTAGCTTATCTAACAGTCTGGAGTTTCACATTTACTGAGCTCCTGTGCTGAACGTACAGACTGCGATATAACCACTTGTAACTGCTGCTTCTACCTGGCTAATGGCATGTAAAAAGACAAACAGTGAGTGCCTTCAACTGCACACCTGAGACCGTGCTAATAATTCGGACAGTAAAAAGGGGTGGTTAGGACTGTTTAAAAAGAATTGGCGTGAGTGGAAGAAAGATAATAGTTGTAGCATCTTGTTCAAAATGTACCGCAATCTCCACAGATATACTTCCTGCCTTCTGGCAGTGCTCCCAGGAGGAACAAGTGGCAGACAGGGCTATCAGATTGCTCTCCGACGGATGGCCAGACTATGGCAAAACATATGCTCCAGCAGGGAAAGCTGCTCTCTTCTTCTCCAGACAAGGTATCAAAATCGACAGCACTTGGAGGGTTCATAAATAGCTATATCAACACTATTAAGATATCAGGAGTGTGGGGAGGGGGGAAGGGGTTGATTGCTTTTTAATAGATTAATTTCCACATTGGAACATTTGAGAAACAACGCGATCTGTCTCTGAGGCCCCTCCTGATGACACTAACAAATAAAGGAATGAGATCTAGAAGTATAGAGGAAACTGAGAACAGCAGCAGTAGCAGAATTTCGTACTTGTAAAATACTATTTATCCAAAAAATGTGAAGCTTTCTGGAAAGAGGGGTCAGGCAGATGCTATTATGCTGAAAACATTGGCAAGACCAGCAGAAGCGTAACGCTGATCACCTGCACCAAACCTATCTGCAAACATCTGCATGGCTGCTTTGAGAAATAGGCTATAAAACAGTTTATCTGTCATTGCTGTGTTGGCTATAAAACACAAGGCAACACAGTTTTCAAGCACTAACAGCTACAGAAACTGCCTCTTCAATATACCAAATGAGTTACAAACATTTATACTTCATCGCAGATCACACCAAAAGAGTTACTTGCAGGGAAACCACATGAGAACCAGAAGAGGCAAGGAAGTAGTTACAAATGAAAGATATTTAACTATATGGCTGGGTTAACAAGATTTGTGGGGAAGAACTTTCCATGCGTTGCAATAACAGGAAGATATTGTTATTAAAAAAAAAGTCCTCTTCCTGTCTACTGAACAGTGCCCTTATTGATCAAGTAACCTAAGATCGAACAACTGATAACTACAAGGTTCCACTGTATTTGACAGCAGATTAATTAAATTACACAAGAACATACTGATTCACACACCATATCTTGCTTCCAGCAGAAAACACTTAGGAAGAAAAGGGAGAAGGACAAGTACTTAGCGCAATTATGTAAAAGAGAAGAGACAAAATGTCATTTCAGAAAACAAGTAATGGCTGGGTCAAGTAACTAGGTAGAGTAAGACTTCAAAATGTAAGGGTGGAGCACTGCAGGGTGTTTCTTGCTCTATTTCTCTCATACTCCTGTTCTGTACTGGCTAGTACAATTCATTCTGACTGTCTGAAGAAGAAAAGCCTGCCAACTAATCTTAGAAGCCAAGGGAGAGAGATTAACAGAGGAAATGAGTAGGTCTGGGCTTCAAAATCCACCTTCTCCAATTTCCCCTTCTTCCATCTAAAGCGCATAACAAAGCTGTTATGAAACCACATGTTGTAGTGGTAAAAACACATTTTGTTCTTTTAAAATCTCTGAGAACATGGCCAAAATCGTGCCTGAAAGCTGAAGAGGCTTGTCAGAGTTGGCAGGATAAAAATTTCAGGAAAATTAAGAAATTCTCAGCTGGTGGAGATCACTTTAGCTCCTTTAATCCACATTGCTATGCTGATCCACACCAGCTGAAAATCTGAACCTTCTTTTGTGTCATGCTATTTTTAAGTAGCTAAACTTCAGTCTTGAGTACAATTGTTCAACCCTATGACGTGGTCCTGAAAGACAAGTACAGTGCGAGTAAAAAAGAGCCATCACCAACATGTCCCAGTCACTCACCAAATCCTTCATGTGCCCATCAATTCTTATTAGGGCTATTAAATTACCTACAGCTGTTCCCGAGTTTCTGCTGGGAGCTATACTGATACACAGCAAACCCCCCAAAAGTGGAAGCCTTTCTGCTTTTAACAGTCCCTCTTGTTCAGAACACTTATGGCACCTGTGTTTTCTATTAGTCACCTTGGTGGCCTGTAACATTACCGCTGTGAGGGCAAGACGTAACCCCGGCTTTTGTGTCGCATGTTACCCATTCTCTTCTTCCATCACTTAATCTCCCGGACAAAATGAACTGTAGTATCTCTTCCCATGGAGAAATTCCCTGGGTCTCCATGGTGAGAAAAAATTCCCTGGCAGCACCTAGATCTATTAAATCATACAAACCCAAGCTTTGGGAACAAAACTGGGTCTGTCGGATCGTTGATGTCATCTCTCAGACACTCACCAGGGTGACAATGGCACATTCAGCAGTCAGTTGAGCAGCACTGAACAACGTCCGAACAAAGCGGTAAATCTGTTTCTGCTCCGGGTCATGTTTGTCATAGTCTGGTGGCACTTCGGATTTCTAAGGAAGAAATACTTCCAAATAGGTGACTGAAACAAAATGAAGCAGACAGAAAGAAAGACCGTTCACATGAAAGGGAAGGAGAGGTAGATGAACTTACCGAAAGGGGATGAAGGTTTTCATCAAAAATATCTAAGAGCATTCTTCCGTCTGTGTCCCTAAAAGGTATTAAAACCAAAGTAGTGTCATTATCTGAACACAACAGCACAAAGCTCTCATAGACACAAGTGTATCATGAAAACTCCAATACTCCTCATCCTGCGGGGAGCTTAGAAACACTGCAAAAATGTGATTTTCAAAGAGAAGTTGGATCTATTCTGCCATAAAGTTCACATGTAATATGAAATCCACATTACAAAGTATGCTAAAATTTTCAGCTTTCAATGCCCAAGACGCACAGCTTTTGTGCTATCTACTGTGAGACTTTTTCACAGCCTAAGAGGTACTACTACAAACTTAAAAAAATAAAAACTTTAAAAAACATTAAACTATAAAAAAGGAAGTCAGCCCATCTTACTCTCCTTTTCTGAAGCTCATTATGTTAATCTATGCAATCTCTTCCTCCTTTATTGTCAACATCGCAAACATTTACAAATATGCAACTTCATTTTTACAGTTATCCTTAGCTAATACCTACGCACTTCACTTTTTATTTATTTGGAAAACCCTATCCTACTAACGATTTCTGAAAGTAAAAAGGACTACATACAAGAAACTTTCAGACAAAATAATATTCTTATTCATTGGTTTTACTTGCTATTTCTCTCTGAGATCCCTGTTACTCAAGATCAGTGTGCAAGTTGATGCAACTTCACAAACCTAACATCCAGTAGGCAATATAAGATTTTTGCTGGGTGTAATATTGGCAGGAACACTAACAATCACAAAAGAGAGTGGTATAACAGTACCAGTTAGAACTGGACACTTTCTGGACAGACGCATCCATGTGACCTACTTATTACAATCCCGTCTTTATTTATACCATCCCTGGTACTCTGGTCACAGAGTTCTTAAGAGAGAAACCACTGGATATGGTTTCTATCTTTACTCAACAGCACGTGTCTCCCAGAGCATGCAAACAGGAGTTTTACAGTGGATTAATGTCGACAAAATGTGCTTCTTAGCAGCTACAATTTAAACCTCAACAGTTGAAGGTGACTTTTTTTTTTTGCTATAAAGCCTGATGACGCTGGTAATAAATACTTTTAAAAAAAATTAAAAAAAAGGAGTACCTAAATTAAAACAAAAAACCAGATTGAGATAATTACTAGAAAATTCCTAATGAGCAAGGATTTTAGGCCAGACTCTTTTACCCCTACATAAAAAGGTTAGGATCTTAATGCAGAAGTAGTCTCATTGGAATCACTGAAGTGCTACAGTAAATTGTGGCCCTTCACAATAAGAAAGAAAGAAAGAATTTTCTATTTTACTTCTTCATGCTGTAGCTGCTGTATGCTATGAAGGCACATTTGATTGCCCTCAAAAAAGTCGTCTATTACACCAAAAAAACCCTCAAGTTCATAGGTTTTCATCTTCGTTAGAACAAATTCACACTGTTATCTTTCAAAAATGAACCATCTACTAATTGATCTAAGCATTTTTAATGTTTAGTTTTTTGGGGTCTACTTTATTTTATTTATTGACTTAGAAAATTCGCCAATACTCATGCATTCCTCTGAAACAAGATAGGTATAGTCTTTTACCACTTGTTGAATAGCTAAGCACAACAAAAGCTGCAGGAAGCCAATTGATATAACAATGATAGAAGACACTGGGAAAAGAAGGAATGATAACTAGAATGTTACAATCAAATGAAATGTGGGAAACATATGAAGGAATATTCTGTTTCATGTATGGTTTCTAAAAAAACTGGGATTGGTGAATGTTTGGAATATTAAGAAGTTAGTTTTAAGCCTACTGTGCAGGAGAGTAGGAACAAATAAATACTGTCCGAAAAGAATTCTTCTCTGGCAAAGCAGGTGCTTGACTCATTTTCTGTCAAAATCAACCTTGAATCTATGTAAGAGTTACAGTGGCTTTTACTTTCCACCCTCCATAATGAACCAAAATCTACCACATACGTCAACAACTTCCTTTTCGCCTATAATGGCAGGAAACAGAACATATGTTTTGCTATTGCTGTTTCAGCAGCAAGTACAACTGAATGCTGTTATCACGTTGTCCCTCTGTTCCAAATCAGAGACAACCAAAGACAGAACAGTCATTTCACATCCTTCATTTCAGAGTCGTTAATTGACGTACGTGAGCCTGCTCCAGCATCACTGCCGAGACCATCTGTCCCAAGTGCAGCGGAGGGCACGTTTACAACACATCTCCCCACCCCGGGCAGCTTCAGGAGGGAGAAGCAGCAACCAGTCCTTCCTGAATAAATCACTTCTCTGTCCCAAAAAGTGAAAGGACAGACAGGAAGTTTCCCCAAGAAGATGAAAACAAATGCATTCTGAATGTTAAGACGCTGACATGGGACTCTCTATTTTATAAAGGTTTAGCCTCTGTCTACCAGTTGTAGGTCAAATTTGCATCAATTTCTGTAAGACCACGAATAAGCATATTCTACTGCAGACAAAAATCAGCTCCGTGGCAATCTGCACAAAGCCAGCCTGGTGTACTTTGGCTCTGGATTCCTCCTGCTTGACTGTGAGCTCTTACTGAAGTTTCTTGGTGGTCCCTGATGTTCCCCATTCTCCTGAGCCTTTTACTCAGCTTGCATGATAACTTAACAGAGTGCTTAAGAATAACTTATTTCCATAAAACTTTAGAGTCTGATTATCTTTGAGTTCTCTATTATTTAGTCAAGTGTAGTAAAAATTGACTAGTTAGCCAAACTAACCCAGGGACAATGGAGGAAAGGGGAAAAAGGGAACCACAAGTGGATAAACAAGTAATCCAAACATGATCACTAATGCCTCATTTCCTGGGAAATGAGATTAAAAGTTAGCAAAAGGTTTCACTCCAACTTTTGCTTTACGTATTGCCATATTTCAGTCCAAGGCCCACTGACATCTTGGAAGGTCTTCTAAGAGCTTTCAGCAGGGATCAAGCCCTAAGTCTTTCTGCCCTTGTGCATTTCTAAAGGTTTCTCTTTAGATGTCAGCCTTGTTTCAAGAAGTGTGATGGGTTCCTGTGACCTGAAACATGGTCCCGAATCACATACCAGCTTAACTTTAAACTTATGAGTAACTCCTTTTGTTCTAGTCGGACTTCTTACAGTCCAGAAGAAAAAAACGTGTAAGTGGCTTGTTAGATCGAGATCTAAGTCAAGTTCTCTGAAAAGACACGTTGAAAAGCCATGGATAAAAAGGTCACTTAAAGTATTTATACAATATCTTCATAGAGATGTCAGGAAATATCATTTTATGATACTGTCACATATCATAAGAACATCGAATTTAAGATACAAAAGTGCAATTCAATATGAAGAAAGCTAATTTAGGTACCGAGTTACTTTTTAGAGAACCTATTCTCTATTCAATTTTCATCAACTCGACTGAGCAGAGATCTAAAACACACTACACCAAAAGAGATAAGCCAGGACCTGCTCTGTTTCTGAGGCATCTTGAATTGCACCTATTCACAATGTCACTCTTACTGTAAAATTAATGGTTTTTATTTCAAAATCCATAAACATTAACTGATCATTGATTTACACAGTTAAATTTACAAAGGTGTAGTCTAAAAAAATGAAATCTGAAAGACATTATTCAGGTTTCTCTATATGTAATTGTAACATCTGCAACAATGCAGATGTGCTCAGTGCACAGAAAACCAAACACTGAATCAAAGTTCTTCAACACTGAACTGTGCTTCCGGATTTTTATTGTACATAATCCTCTAATTTTTATTTGTCTAAGCAAAATAATATATATAAAAAATATAAAAGAACCTGTTTCACATTTCTAATGTGGGAAATAAGAAAAATACTCCCCAGAACATTTTGAAAGTAACAGTGCATGGATTTTTAGGGTTTGGGCAGACCATTTGTTTTGATTAAAGATATCTTCAGTACAAGATTTCATTATTCACATACCTGTTTTTGATGTGGTAATATATTGCAAGAGCTACACTGTAAAGAAAAATGCAGAGTTAATATCACAGGAGTGCCAAATTATATTATTTGTCATATTAACATGCAAATTTAAAACCAGCACAATGCACGACAAAAAGTATGCTCAACAGCATTTTCATTCTATTCATTATTAGATACCAGGAAAAGTGCTGTAAATAGACAGGTTTATAATATTTATTCAGCCCACTCCAAGGGCCTCTTTTTCACTAGTAATGAAATACCTTACAAAAACCCTCATATTCCACATAACAAGTTGCACATACTTTCCATTTAATGCCTTACTCTACTAAAGTCAATGATAAAACTCCCACTGTCTTCCAACGTTGAAGATAAAGCATCACAGGCATTGGACATTCTTTTTTATTGTTTGCTAATGCTGCCAGGCTGACATGAAATGTTTTAATCACCACTGGCTTATGATTTTATATTTTAATCCATTAACTTTTGGCTGTCTTTCTATGTAGCTACTCACATAACAGACTCAAATACCAGGCTTCTACAGTTTTATGGCATCGAGTTACTTATTTTAACTCTGGAAAGACGACTCCCTGAATAACTTACTGCATTACGCATTTCCCGTGTTCTCAACCACACACCCAAGTACCTCTGTTTATATTCCGCGCAAAGACAACATGCGTCCTTATATTCACAGAAAGCTAATATGTTAATTACAGATACATCTAACTGATCTCATTCACATTTGAGAATGAAGAAAATTAAGACGTGGCTTCTCATGGCTATTCTCCACTTCACAACTCCATCTTCATCAAAGGACATATGCTTCACACATGGTAAAGCTTTACCGAAGGATAGAGCAGAATCAGCACCCTCCCTACTTGTTCCAGCAGCATAAAACCCAGTCAAAACTAAAGGGGAAGGAGGAGGGAGTTCACTGATTCTATTTGTTGGCAATTTGTTTTGTCAGTGATTCACTGTAAGATGCTTCTGTCTTACACCGACACAAAAATCCTTCCCCATCTCTTTTCCATAAACAGCCTTTTAAAAGAGTCAATTGGTTGCTCTGTGATTTTATTACAGAATTTTTACATGAAAACTGACATACTGTGTGTTAGGAAAACAGTATGTTGGAGCTACCATGTTAGTAGAATTTTAAATTATTTCAGGTTTGGTTGTTTGATTATTATTTTTTTTTGAACATCCATGTAGCGGAAAAAACGTTTTTTTCTTAGTTGAATGTAAATATATTTTACTGACTTTGTATGAGTATTATAGCTTTTACCTGGCTGCATTAGAAGTTTTTAGATCATAAATGCTTTTTTAATTTGTTGGGTTTTTTTATAGATACATATTTAAGGAATTAAATTATTTAAGAGATACTGTGTGACATGGACATTTAAAGGACACAGTCCTCACTGAACACAAAGAACACATTTATGAATGAATATAATTTGACTGAAAGCTATTCAAAAAATGAATCATTCCTAAAATTTAATTTTAAGTTATGCCCCTAGGAACACACTTGCAGCTCCAGTTCACTTCATGAAAGTAGATGCAAGAATCTACGTGCAGGGCTCTACTTGGTGCCCATATGGTTGCTTTTGTAACAAAATGCCAAATTAAGTTTAGAAAATATACACTATTTAGAAATCTGCATCAGAATCTGAAAGTCCTTCAGAGCTGTAACAGATTAACTCAGATCCAAGTTTCATTCTGCTTTCCATCCGCTGGTTCAGCTAGCACTCAGTGTGCAGGGAAGAAGCTTGTGGAGCTTTCCATCACCCTACCCTGGCCGCCCCACCGATGCAGCGGGTCTTCAGTAGATGTGCTAATATTTGAAACACACCAGTGCATAACATGACCCAGAAGAAATAAAATGAGCTGGCCAAAAAACATCCCTCAATAGATTAACCTACATGCAATAGTCATTTATCTGCAGAGACTGCCAGGATGGGGGCAAGACATGAAGTTCCACTACAAAAGCAATAATCCCGCGATCTCCCCACCCTTAAATCTGTTAAATGTGCAGCCAGACAGGACAGCAGAGGAGATAAAGACTCCTCACCCAGAGGCCTTATGTGCCAGAGTCCAGTTTCTCACCCCACATAACCCCTTTTCAAACCCTCCGACCCCTTACGGATTCCAACCCTTCCCACGCCGGCAACCTGCCCTCAGCCCCGCGCAGCTCCCTGCCGGACCCAGCGGCCGCAAAACGCTCTTCCAGCATGACGCACGCCCTCTCCTCCAGCTCTGCCCCCGCCACGCACTCCCAGTCTCTCCCAAACGCCTTGTTCACCCCCTCCAGCTTGCTCTTCTGCCTCCCCTTTCACAAGGCTGCTGCTGGCCACCATGGCCGGCTGAAAATGCTCCTTGGCTGCTGCAGCCAACTGAACCCGCCTCTGCTTTCCACAAACAGTCTCAGTTCCAGTGCTAAACCAGATCAGAACCAACCCCCCACCCCAAAGGCTGCACTTAGAAAAATCTGCACGCAAAGGATTTTAGAGCAGAAGAGTATGAGATTCCAGGAGGAAAAAACAAACCTCAAAACCTACAAACATTCTTCCAGTGTTCATCAGATTTTAAAGTTATTAATTAAGGAAACTTGAGGAAGAGCAAGACTTTATTTCAGGCAGAAATAGATGATGAGGAATTAGGTGTCAGTTGGACTGCAAATCTGTTCTGCGTTCCCCTCTTTTATTTCTTAACCAGGAAAATTAAGAATGTGCTTTAGTGACCACCAACAGTACAAACTCCTTTGGATGTGTTAGTTTGCATATACTTGTGTCTCACATCTCTCTCAGTCTTTGTAGCACAAACTTTGTCTTAATAAACTTTTGCATGAGTACACCAAGATAACCATCCTACAAACAACTCAAGATATCAGCAATCATAATAATCAAACAGCATAAAATGCCCAAGCATTTGTTATCTCATTTTCCCCTTACTGTACAAAAAGAAAAGAACAATACGTTATAAATAAAAATCTTGTTTCTCTCCAAATGTAAAAAGGCACATGTGAAACCTGAAATGAACACCTGAGACATCACCCAAGGGTAAGCCCATGTGCGCACCACATACAAAGCTCCGCACCGCTGCGCAATAAACAGCCAGTGCCCTCGTACTCCGTAGGGAAATGAATCTAGTAGGGAAATGAATCTAATTTCCATTTCAAACAGAAAACTGGAAGGAAAGCTTAGCAAATGAGCATTTTCTCATTAACAGAAAAGAGCTCTTCGATTTCTAAAGATTTCCGATCATTCCTAAATTCTGGATAAACAAGCATCCAAGCAAGTTTTGAGAACTCATCCAAAGCAAGTATCCAGCTGAACACTGAAGCACAAGGATTTCAGCTGCTAGAATGCGAGATCCTTAATTGCTGCTTTCTTGCGAGATATGCAGTATTGGTAGTCTGATTCTGCAAGGACGTAAAATCACAGTAATACCCTTTGCTCATCCTACTCACCGCCTCTGGAGCACGACTGGATTAAAAAAAAAAACAAACAACTGTTTCAAAAACTAAGATGTGTGACGCTTGCTTAGTAATGACTCAGAACTATGTGTACATATATGCATATAAATAACGTAGGTTCTAGCAAAAAAAAAGAATTATAAAACCCACCATTTGATGGTATACTTGAGGTTTGGTTGACTGACTGTGCTGTCATCCAGGAAAATAGTAGAGCAGGAACTGTACTTCCTTCTCAACTGCCCAGGAGGATGCTATGAAAAACATGCAAAAGAACAATGGCAATTACATAATACCAAAACAATTTTCTGAGGAGATGTAAGAATTTAGAAAAAACAAATTTCTCTGTCTCTCACAATGACGCACACAGTAATGTGATCATGTTTTGAAGCAGTTCAGAAAGTTCAGAAATAATTACCAGTGCACAAGTCACAACAATCCCTGACTGAGCCTTGCCTAACGCTTTCAAGTCCCAATCTCCCCTCCATCCCTCCTTCCCAAAAAAACATGCAAAAATCATTCTGCAAAATTACTCAAATTAAATACACACATTTGCACCACAAAGATGAACAAACTCTATGTTTCTGTCCTCATTCCAAAGGAGTAAGTGGAAGAGTGAAAAAGAAATCATATTAAAAATGAGACTGATTCACACACAGATACAAAACCATGCCTGGAGAAAAGTAAATAAATAAATAAAAAAAAACAAAACAAATACACAACAACAAAAAAAAACCCTAAAATAATTAAATAGGGGAAAGAGGTCTTTACAGTAAAAGTACTAAAAAAAATAAAAATTAATAGGGAAAAATAAAAAGAGTAATTCATCAAGACTAGATTGTTATTAGGAGGAAAACTGATCAAAGCATGTAAGAGAAAGTGAATATGCAAATAAAAAAAAGAATCAACAACATATCTCTTAATAGAAAATGTTTTCAACAGATTTCAATCCTATTTCTGCACTACCATAGAAAAACATTAGAAAGCTCAGCCACAAACCCACATTAGACAATACTGCTTATTTCTGAAGACTTTTTGGTTGAGGGGACTTCTCCTTCACCTGTTTAGAGCAGCCAGCACTCCATCAGTATAAAGGGAATAGTTTCATCGTATGAGCTAATAGCTATTAGTCATTAATGCTTTTGATTTTATCTTTGCTTATTCTACCTACACAAGTGAATAACTCAACCAAGAGCCCGTGTCAGGAAAGTTAAGACCAGTCAAATTACATGTTTAACTTACAACAGAACAGATTTAAAATTCAGTCGGCACATCCAGATGACAATTCTAATTTGTCTTACAAAGAATGTTGTTTCCAGCACTTCAGTGGAGAGACCAAGTCTATACCATTGGTGGAATCCACAGGCATTTACCAGCTCAGAGCAACTGAGTACCCAGACTAAAGTCCCGTAACTCCTACTTCAATACATCTTCCCCTGCTTAATTTCCAAAACAGTTTTTTTTTCAGGTGCCAGCACTCCGTCATCTCATTAATGTTTCATTTGCCATAGACAGAAGACTTCTTAGCAGCAGTCATTAGACACAGAACAGACAGACTCCTGGTAAAACCTACATGCATCTGAGTCATCTTTCTGTTTTTCCCAGCTATGAGCAGAAGAGCTTTCAAAGTCTTCCATTAATGGAAGAAAATAATTTTCTGAAGCTCTTGCAATTGTAGAAACACTATATTCAAATTATTTCAAAGTTCACCAAAAAATTCTATCAAGGTCATTCCACTTGACCAATAAATTCGTAGGCTGAACTGCTTTTCTTGGAAATGAAAGCATTTACTGAAAAATATTATCCCCTCTCAAAAATTCTCCAGGAGTTTGGAAAGGTACTTTGTAATACTTTGGAAGCTCGTAATCCATCCACCTTCCAAGCTATTATATGTTAAGCAAGGCAACAAAATGAAAATTTAGAAGTACTGGAAGCACTCATGCTGAAAAATGTATTATCTAGCATTGATGTATACAGAGCGAATGACTAGGGGACTGGTGATTTATAGCTTTGATTCTGCCACAGTTTATTTCAAATTTCTGGATTAGACTATTGAGAACTTACGCAACTTAAAAACAACTGAAAATGAGACTGTATAGTGTTTGAAAAAAAGGGAAAGGTACAGACATTTCAGCATAATTTAAAAAAAAAAAAGCACATGGAAAGTTTTAATTGTACATTTTAAGTGCCAACATGCTTTAAAGGGTTAGATAAAATTTAAGATAAATGAACTAGATTCATTCAAGGCAAGCATGAGTAAAAAACAGAAAACAACTCTAGCAACACCACTATCAGATTTGAATTTTCTTATGTAAACAGCACTCTAACATTTGATACATGTCAATAATTAGAGCCATGCACCTTATTTCTGAAACTACCACATCACAGAACTCTCCACAGTTTTCAGCCCACATTACACTTCGTTAGGCTTAGAACTTTTCACACTTCAGAAAAATATGTGGTGTCTCATGCCTCACTTTCTGTTCATAACAACTTGGCAGGAAGGGGCACCTCTCCCAGTCTGAAAAATGGTGCCAAGTGTAAACCTACTATCTTGGGTATATATACACATTTGTGCCATGTGAATAACTAACCTATTGGTAGATCAACATTCCCAGCTTCTACTCTGACGTCCAACTGCAGCCATATGGTATGCCAGGTAACAGATTTTCTGCCTGTTCCAAATTATTGGAAAACGCCCTCAGTTTTATATTCTAGCTTGACTAACCTGGAAGACATCTCAAGTCCCACAGTTCAGTCAAATAGACTTTTCTGAATCTCCATGAAATGCTGCAGGTGAACCTTCTCCATCCTTGCAAAGGACAAAAGTTACCGAGCATCAACTTGGTATTCAGCACCGTCCTACAGAGGAACCCCATTCTGTGTCCATTTCAGTGGGATAAGTCCAGACCCAAAATTGTACAGGAGCTTCATGCCTTCACATTTCAAATCTATCATGACTGAGCACAAAAATCTTCCATTTAGACAAGCCTCTAAGCACGAAAAATCAGAAAAGCTGAGAAAGAATCCAGAGCCTTTGAAGAAATTAGCCAAACCCTCTAACATTAATGGGATCCTTCACAGGTTGTGTCCCACCATGAAGAATGACATGGGGGAAAGAAAGAACTGGTATAGCTCATTTTGTAAATCTTCATACGCAAACATCACAGTGAGCACAGGACATGTGTGCAGCCTTGACAATCTCTGCTATTACAAATATTTACAAGTTAAAAGCACCTCATTGATATGAAGTGGGATACACTTTATATGTACTTTAACCTGCAGTAGAAATATTTTTGTGCCCCAGCTGAGATTCAGTAGATGCCACGCTTCTCAACTTCAGCAAGACTTCTGACTTGACCTTGCATAAAATTCCCAAAGGGCAAAACAAGGAAAACATGGCAGGTAAAAACTACTTGGACAACTATACTCTGCTCAGGCAGGGATCACTTTCAGATTGGAAGGTTGAAGTAAGGGACATTCCACAGAGGTCTGGTCTACTCAATGTAAAATACTGAGCAATAACTTTGATAACAGAATCAAGATATTTTTTACTGAATTTGCATTTGGCATTACCTTGCAGAGGATTCACTAAAAAAGGAAAACATAATAGAGGATCTATAGAGTTACCATGTATATACAACAGTGTAGAGCACTCTTCCACTCTGCTCAGCTGGAATTTTATGTCCAGTTTTGACCACTGTATTTCAAGAAAGATGAATTGATTTTAGCAAGTCAGGAGGAGAGAGCAGCAAGATTAATCAGAGGTTTGAAAAACCTGATTTATAAGGAAAATCTGAAAGACTGAAGAGGTTTTCTCCAAGAACAAAGCAACACTATTGGCCTTAAGTCATGTTGAAGTGAGTTCCAAAGAAGGGAATGTTGTTCTCCATGACCATTGCAGATGGGATAAGTAAGAGGACGCTTACATTGAACTAGGGAAAATTAAAATTGGATGTGAAAGTATGGGACAATATGATGGGAAAAAATACCCACCCCAAACTATCACCTTTTTCTAATGGCAGGGATAGCTTGAGTGACTTAAGCAGTGACAAAATCTCCATCACTGAAAGTTGCAAAGAAGACGCAAAACAAACATATGCCAGGAATATCCTGTAGATGCTTTGAGGCAAGAAATCAGACTGAACAGCCTCTTGAGATGAATTCTGGAATAACTTTCTATCATTTTGCTATTTCTTCTGGTGGAGAGCATTTGTAACTCTCTACTCCAAAGCGGTTGTTATTATTCTCATTTCAACCAAACACGTTCATTAAGAAATGCTGGCAATATAGGTTCCAATCAATACATAAGAGCTGTTTTTTGGATTTTTTTTTCTTTACAGAAAAAGGTTTATAATGGAAAAAAAATTGCTTTACAACTTGCTAAGCTTTTACGTGTGTTACAGAACAAGCTCTAAGAGATCAAGATTCAACTTAATGCCAGGTGTTTCTAGCTCTTAAAAAGAGCAGCTTTTCCCTCCTGCACAGCTAGTACTAAGGGAATGAATATCACTGCTTTATTTTTCTCCCAGCTTCATCCTGAAACTTTCCAACTTTCCAAATCACATTTGTTTTAAGATGTTTGAACAATACAATTTACTTGAAGCTTACATAAAATACATCTTACCAGAAACAGAACGGCTTAGTTTGCCATCAAAATCACACAAGCTCTGCCGAATTGCTTCTGTGTACCTGCTATGAAAGGAATCAAAACAAATTCCTAACCAAATCACTATGAGAACACACAAAAGGATTAATTTCTCTCAGCCTTAATTTTAGCATCACTCAGAAATTAAACCTAGATTTGTGGGGAAAAGGGAAGGGTTATTATTTCTTTTATTAAAATAGTAATTTCAGGGTGCTTTGTGGTAGAAACATCTAACAGACAGGTGCATACTGACCAAAACCCACCCTCAGAATTGACCAGAAGGGGCACCATGGTGCCAGCTCTGCCCTGGAAGCTCTTTCGCCACGCTGGTATGGCACTCTGCCCTGCTGCTCAGCAGGATTTGTTCATTTGGGTGCAACACTGCCCTAATGAAGCCACGCAGCTTTTGTACCACAGCTGGCCTCCAGCCAGCCAGCCTCCAGTCTGGAAGAGAAGCTTTCGGTTTTTTCAGTGTTCTTTTGCACTTGTCCATCAAAAGATAATTGGCAGCTTCTGTCCTAAATAATGATAGCACAGTCTCTTCCACCAAACCAGGTGTAAGTTATTGTGTGACTTTAAAAGGTACTATTAAATAGTATTTCCCCCCATGGAAAACTTGAGGCCTGCTTGCCCTCGTCTGTGGAGACATGCCCATTAGCTTCCAGGCAGTAGAGGCTGGCCAAAATGCTAATAGGCAAAACTGGCATGTAAAAGGACACACGAAGCCAAGTTAAAACAGTGAACACAAATACCAGGACTGCTTCTGACTTGGAAAAGGGAGGTTCCTATCTTGTGGATCTTCTATTGCTTCAGGACACGATTTAGTTCTGACAACATTTTTCACAGCAGAAACATGATTTTACAGGTCAACAAAGTGCTTCCAAATCAAGCAAGCCGTGCAGCATAAAGCTCTGCCCAGCTCTGCAAAGCTCTGCTTTTATTTTCATGTTGCTTAATTCGATACTACAGCACAATTGTCTAGATATCCCCTCTCAAATATTCTTCAGGAGTTTGGAAAGGTACTTTGGAAGCTCATAATCCATCCACCTTCCAAGCTATTATATGTTAAGCAAGGCAACAAAATGAAAATTTAGAAGTACTGGAAGCATTCATGCTGAAAAAATTATTATCTAGCATTGATGTATACAGAGAGAATGACTAGGGGACTGGTGATTTATAGCTTGGATTCTGCCACAGTTTATTTCAAATGTCTGGATTAGACTGTTGAGGACTTAAGCAACTTAAAAACAACTGAAAATGAGACTGTTTAGTGTTTGGAAAAAAGGGAAAGGTACAGACATTTCAGCATCATTTAAAAATTTAGTGGCTAGATATGGGTATATTCACCTGAACAAAAGCCATAGGAAACTGCACCACTGAACATTTACCTTTTTCTGCCAATATCTACAATAAAAAAAGACCCAGCCTAACCACTTGTAATACCCATTGTCCTCATCAGTCTATGACATGATTCAACATTGCCCTCAATTGATTAGTCTCCCCAATGTTTGATGATGTCCAAAACTGATGCCTTAGACTAGATCTGTACTTGCAAGTTTTTGGCTCTCAAAGCCTGTCCTTACTCACATCAACTATAGAAAGCTATGTCAGCATACCACCGAGCTCCTGGGGGGCTCAGCAACCACTGGTAAACTCTTCTGCAGCACACAGAGGCCCTACTTAACCACTGATAAAGCACCCTGTTTTACAAACCTGAAAAGATTAAATATTTCTTTGAACACTAAAAGCAGCTCAAAGGCTTATATTTACATAGCGTGTAATTGCTAGTGTTGTGCAATTTGACCAGAGGGACTTTACTAGGCTCCCTGCACAGCAAGTATTATACAGCAACCTTGTAAAAGAACTCTCCTGTGTGCTCTCATTCCACCTTAAAAGCTATTTTTTGCTCCTCCCCCTACAAAAGTTTGCCATGTCACATAACTTATTGCGTTGAGGCTGACAAGGGAGGTAAAATTCTTCACCCCAAAGGACAGGAAAAGAAGCAAGGGGCTGAAAGATATTAGAAAAAACATTACAGACAGTAAATTTAAGTAAAATATTAGAGAAAACCTGCTGATTCTAACTTACTGGAAGCCTGAAAAAGCATCTTAAACAGCATCTGTTAAGAATGGCATCAGTATAAGGAATCTGCTAGATGAACCAGATTGCCTGTAAAGGCCCCCTCTAGACCTGTTTTTTTGTGATCTTGCAATGGAGAGGAGCAGAGACCAGATTAAGCAATCTCTAGAAGAGCTGCAAGAGTACCTGAGAAGCCTCTAATCTATCTTCCAGTTTATCTTGTTCTTCTCTGAGTAAGGAATGTTAATTAAAACATCTTAAAGAATTTGGACAGCAATTACAAACCTTTACAATAGCCAGGCTCAGGCACATAACAAAAACAAAATTTCACATTTTATGTTGTGCTTTGCATTTTACATGGATTAAAGTACTTTTTAGACTATGTTCCCATTTCAGCATGTATCATATTCACTCTTATAATCGCTAGCTGAAAGTGGTTGATTACCAGTCACACGCCCAGTAGTTTTACAACAGGGAAGCAGAACAACTTCTTTACCCACTCTGACGGCAAAATTTGGGGGCTACACAGGAGCAAATACCATACATCATTTCAAGCATGCAAAAAGACTCACAGAAACAGCTTGTGCCACACCACGTACAGCAAAAGACCTCTCTGTTCTCTGCTAGTCCCCATCAGTAGGACTGCTGCTGGGAAGAAGCTTGCCCTGACGTGAATCACTACAGGGCCACTTACAGGGACTGGAGTTCTGACACGAATGATGCCCGGGAACTTTTCCCCAGGATGCTGAAAAAATTTTGGCCTATACGCAGATGTTAGTTTTTCTACTTGGAATGAGCGTGCTGGGATTTGAACATCCAGTTGCCGGGTAGCAGACAGTGGAAGTCATGTCCAGATCCCTAAACAAGATGATGCTGAAGGGAAGCTGTTGCTATAACGCTGACGAAGGGTCTCCAGAATAAATAAAAAAAAAAAACAGGAGAGAGATATTACTTCCCTTTATCTTCCTATAGAAATATTCTAATATGCAAAAAAATATCCCTTATTTTTACTGGATATTACTTCTCATAAACACAGATTCAACTTTAAGAGCATATCTTGTCAAGAAGAGAAGAAAGTATTTTGGCAAACAGAGCATTTTCATCCTGCCTGAAAGGGAAAATTGCTAGAAAAACTTGACTGAGAAAACAACCTTTCCTTCCCCTTTCCTGCTCCTTTTTCCTGCAAAGAAAAATAATCACCCAGTACAAAGAACTAACTAGTGCAAACATTACCAAAAAAATTCACTTTTTCTCCACCCCCACCCCAAATACATAAAACATGTCTTCCTGTTTGCTTTCCTTGTATAGGCAGAGATACTGATGCAATCTCTCCTCTCTGAAAAAGGAAACGCCTCTATCTCAGTCTGCATCTTTATCCCCCTCAGCAGCTTGACTAAGCAGATTAGAAGAAAAGGCAAGCGCACACTGAAGCGGCACTAAAGCCACAACAAAAAAACAACTGCCAGTTCAACGGGAAAGGGAAGTAGAGTCTGCTGCAACTGCTTAGAAATTAAAATAGGCTGGAAGAAAGCAAACACGCCAGGTACACTGCAGGGAGGTCACTTCCAGCACCGAGAAGGATGCTGGAAGTTATGCAAAGGATCCAGCACCATCTCCAACCTGTCGTCTGTCTCCCTGGGCTCCGTGGGAAGACTGAGAAATGATGGCTTCTCCATAGCACCCTGTCACTCCCACTTTCACTCCTTCCCCCTTGCCTTCCCCACCCCAAAAAAAAGAACAGCTGCCGGCTTCTTCCATCACACCTACTGACAAGGTGAATCTGAAACGTGGCAACTGACAGCCCTTGACAAAGTGCAATACATCAAAGCAGGAACCCTCTATTTGTATTGGGGAAAAACAAAATATTCTACATTTAACTGTTACCTCAAATTTCTTCAAACAAGGCAGCCTAGGAAAATTACGATGGTTCTCTGCAGTCTGCAAACCTAAACACAATCCCCAGTTAAAGGCCACAGCAACCACTTCAAAAATGATCACCAGTTTGTGCATCAGCTTTAGCAGACTGAATATTTGGGAGCTGCTGAATGAATACTCACAGGTGGGACAAAGTAACAACTTCCATATTACAGGCCACATTTGAAAATATAGCTTATCTATGAGTATTGGCTAAAAAACTTCACTGACTTGTAAGGACACACACAGGGAGCATCATGGTAAGGACTTCAGCTTCATAAAAGTTATTTTTAGCTTTGTAATTCAGAAGAAGTACTTTATAAGTACAAAGAAGTCATACTTAAGGTAGCAGTAAACCAACTATTGGGGGAAGTTTACATTGCTGCAATCTGAGCCAATGCTTTGAATGGTACTTAGAAAAAAAAAAAAAGGAAAGAAATTAGGAGGTACAGTGCTTAGGGTATCAACTGCATAAGCTGCTACACTGAGCTCCCCACAACAAAACTCCTCAGTGGCACGATCATCCTTCCCTTTCCTGCAACAAGTCCAGCACTGCCTAAAAATATTTGATACCAGGGTTTGCAATAGCGTGCTTCCAGCAGCATCTGTAATAGTCATCTTTGTTCAATCTGCTAGAGGAATCCACTCGCAGTCTGTCTAATGCAGAACACATCTTTTACATGACGTGAAGAGGTTCAGGACATGCGAGAATTTCACCATGAACACAAGGTGGACTGTCACAGAAACTCAGTTAATACCATTGCTTTGCAGTGTCTAAGTATTCATTTTTTTGGCATCAAGCCCTCCAAGTTTGAGGCTAAAAAGCACACTGGAAGTTACCGAGCACACATTAAGTTTATAGGAACCCAGTGCGTTAGCTTTACAAGTAATTTTATAACAACACAACAGCACTGCAAACCAGCCTCACATGCATTGTAAACAATGGAAATGTTTTACAGGGGAACAGAAGGTGAGAAGCACTGAGAGTACCTGCTAACCTAGTGGGGCCAACTTTAAGGCTTTTATAAGTCTCAAAATATCTCATGACTTCTCAAAACCTTAACTCTTGGGCAACTGAAAATCTCAGCTTGCTTTTGAAGCCAGGCAGTGGTTTCAGAAACACTCAGCACAAACCAGCTCTGCCAGCAAAGGAAGCAGCCCTGCCTTCTCGCCCCGCTCGGCGGCTCACTCCTGCCTCCGTGCCTCCCTCCCCTCCTGCGGGTGCAAGCCCTGAAGCGAGTCACGTTTAGGAGCAGATCCACTTTAGCTTTTAGCTGTGCTGAATCTACCTGCATTCAGGCCCCAATCCAGTTTATGTGGAGCTGCGCAAACATTCGCCCCAGCACAGAGGTATGCAGAGGCTATAAACCACATCTGCACCTTTCAGCAGCCGTACCGGCTTAAAAATGATTCATGAAATTATGACCCATATTTCCAGATAGAGAAAAGTTTGAGAACAACTCCCCATTTCACCCTAAAGGCAAATACCATTTGGGAGACAATTAGTTCTTTCCCTCTTCAATTTTACTGAGGCGTGACTCCAGATATTTCAGCACAAGGCTTAACATACTGGGAACACCACTGGTTCCAGGTGCTCCAGTAGTAAAAACAATACCAACTGGGGCAAAGAGCTTGGTCCCGTACCCAAAGCAGGCTATAGGGGATTTGCGCTCAGCTTCACCAAGAATTTGATTCAAACAGAAGAGAACTGAACTGAAAATCGCCCAGGGTACACAAGCGTATTAAACCCCATCTTCATACTCAGCATGTACTGTATGTCAATCCACATTTACATTGCATCAACGATGGTCAGACACTTCAGAACTTCTGTGTAAACATCAGCTGCTGCAGCTCTCTGCCAAAGCAAACTTGCATACAAATGTAATTTAAAGTTCTGAGAGTTTTTGTAATACTTTTAAAAATCATACTAATTCATGCAGCTCTGTCCCAGATACCAGTTACCTACGCAGACTGGTTGCGAGCATGACATTGTCTTCAAACCAACAGATCCATTCCACTAACTCAATAGCCGAGACCTATACTTCTGGATCCTGATGCAGAACAGACGTTCGAAGCATCAGCACTCTCTAACCAATATGGACATCATGTGTGATAATAAGTCTTATTTACTGTATAATACAGACAACAAGGAGAAAGCTGCATAGCGAGGCATTTGCACTTACGTGGTTTATATAGAGACTCTTGCGTTTTTCTCTCACTGCAAAAACACAAAATATGATAGAAATATTACATGACTATTTTTCCCGATTAAGCTTCTTATATACCATTTATAATAAAAAGAAGAACAGGAGGCTATCTATGTGCAACATTATAATGGCTTTTGCACTAACCAAGTATATTTTTATATATTTAAACACAGAAGGAACATATATCGGTATGCATAAAGGCATTTATGCTCACTAGTGTGGCGATGGATTGAAATTCTCATCCATTTGCATACTTCACCAGGCGCTGGTCCGCGTGGGAAAGTTAATATGTGGTAAGCTACAGTCCAAGTTAGCAATGGATCAGCCATCCTTCACCAGTTCTCTGTGGGTACTCCTCAGCCACCAGCGCCTTCGTGCAAGGTACCTTGCTGCAAAGTGGCCTACACTATCTTGCAGGTATGGAAGCACCTAAACAGCCACACCACGGAGTTAGCAAATTCTCGTCATAGCTTACTGTGCACTAACTCCCGTAGAGCAGCCTCGACATCATCTGTGTTACACCGCTGCCTTCTATAATGCTCAGGTGCAAGCCTGGAACTATTACTCATGTCGGATATAAAAAAGAAAATATTTTACTTTGGTGAGCATGAACCAGTCACCACAAGCAAGGGTTGCAAATCAAAGCCACAATTAGCCAAAATATTCAGAAAGTAAACAGCAACAACAAGGGAGATAGACGTATAGAGTCTTAATTGTCAGGCAAATGCTTATTACAGCTGATTAAATATACTCTATTTAATTTTTTAAAGCACTTTCCCCATTAACTCACCCCATAGAGAGCCTGTGGAGCTCTGTTCCAGTGAAAATACCACAGCATTTAGGATACAAGTCTGGAGGCAACTAACACATAAATCAAACTGCAGGATTAAAATAATAATGGTTTCATGCTGTAAGTGATTAAATGCACTTTGGTGCACCATGATTTGAAAGCTATGCAACCCAAAGCACTTAGCAAAATAAGTGTTCATAATGGTGGGATAGCCTGTCCATTCCCTGTTGGATGAGAAGCCATTATTTGTGATTTTTTATAAGCAAGCAATCTCACATAAACAAGGCTTTATGTGTGAATACTGTGAAATAATTGTGTTTAATGCAGACATAAAATGAAAAGAAAATAAGGAAAAACTTTTAAAAATCCTTACATAATTTTCCTCCCAGGGAGCAGAAAGGAGAATCACACATGACAGATGTTAGCCATGTCACTTAGTACATGCTCAGATCCACAATTACGGACATTGTAAACAGAATTAAACAGGAACAGCAGGAAAATTCTGATCGTCTAGTAAATAGTTAAACTGCTTGAAATCCTGCTAAAACACTGCACTACACTTAAGTTCCACACACTGCATTTACCACCAGCAAGGGATATAAGTAATCTAAAGGGAAACAATAAAATGATGGTAGATACTCACTTCTAAGAATAGCCAAAGTATTTGTCTAGTATTGCATATTGCAATGTACAGGCAGTAAACAATTCTGATAAGCTGCATGTAAACCTAATAAGAGTACATAACTGAAAATTAACACCTATTCACTGTGAAATTTTGAACACAAGTATTTAGCAGTGTTTTAATCACAATTATAACGCATACGAAGTTCTTACGGACAAAATCCTATAAAGACAGCCTGCACATACACTCCAAATTCCATTTTAATCACCGTTTTCCCCGTACCTTAGTTCTTCTCTTCTGTATTTTCCCTTGTATCCATTATTCAATTCCCCATGAAAGTACAATCATCTATTTACCAAAGCAAGAATATCACTCACAGCTCATTCCCATTTGCTACTTCCATTCTCCAGAAGAATATATTCATGTATTTAGACACAGCCCTCACTTCTCCCCTGCTCAAGCACTCCTTGTGCTGCACATTCTTCCAAGCACCTCGTTGACCTCCTTTCCCCTATTTTCCCCATATAACAGAAATTCAGTCAGTCTGGATTCTCTGGTGAGGGAAGACAAGAAGGCAACTGTGCTTTCGTCCTTGTGGCCCACTCTGCCACAGCGTAAGGCTCAGCTCTTTCCAGAATATATGTCGATGGGGAATCGGGCGTAACAGAAACCCGTTTTGGTGTAATCGCTCTCTTTTGTGACCACAACCCTCCCTTTAAACAAGGGAAAGACAATTATTGCACAAGGCAAAAGGCCACTCCTGCCAAGCTAAAATGACTGTAAAGAGGTAATTCCATCACTTGGTTTCAGTCAGTTTAAAGATGCTTTGCACTGCTCACACAGCACAGTATGATCTTCAGCAGACGAGGCCACATTATAACATATAATTAACCATAATTTTGTAGCATAAAGTCCTAACTGCAACTCCAGGCTTTTGGCTTTCAAGCACAGGGTTTTGATGAAATGAAGCTGAACAGATTTAGAGTCAGTTTAAACAATTAAACTTTTACTTTCTTTCTAATATTATAAAACCTGAAAGTTGGAACAGAACTCTTCAAGTAGATACTGAGATGCTGCCAAACTGTCTTAGTTTACCTCATTTTAAGGTCAATGACCTGTTCCTATTTCTGCAGCCACTTTCAACTGTTATTGTTGAACTTTCGCAACAGTAGGAAAACATATTATCCTGAAATAAAAAGGAGTGAGAAAATACACACACACATACAGCTATATATGTACGTGTGTGTAACACATGTACGTATTTTGCATCGAGCTGTAATAGAAGCTTTCTCTGTGCAATTTCTATAGACTATCTTAACATCACCCATACCAGGATCGAGCAAAATCCTTGAGGATTACATCAATAAAAAATGTCTCACATTTTGGGAGTTTTTAAACCATTTCTTTTTGGTTTATCCGAGACAGGAGACTGGTCCTAGTTAACATTAAAGAGTAAGTGCACCTTCCTTCACTTCTATCCACTACATAAATACAATTTCAAAATCCTCTTTGTCTGAAGCCCATCATTGCGTTGATCCTGCAAAATTTAGCCAGTACACTGAATGTGTAAAGCCTGATGTGAGTTAGGAAAGGTGGGCAGCTGTAAGCTACTTCCAGGAAATACCATTACCGGCATCCTGAAGGAGCAACCATTGCCCTCTTGCTCTTATAAGGAAAGGAAGTTACATTATTGGAGTGCTAAAGTTTGGAAACCTTGGCTTAACCACAACCACACACTAAATAGTGCCTGGCTTTTCAGTCAACTATACCATCCTGCTTACAGGCCAGACTCAGCAAACAAGGGAGAACTTGCATAAAGCACTCATAGAAGTTAAAGACATAAAGGGTGATGTTCTTTACTAGCTCCCTAAACAGAGAGAATTACTCATCTAAGATCCAGCACTTACTTAGAAGATTCCCACAAAGAGTTGGAAAGATTTAGAAAAGCTACTTTAGTTAGGAATCTAATTAATATTTATTGTGTCTTAAACTTTTCTACAGATTCATTGAACTCTCAGGTAAATAAGTTGGTAGTCTGAATGCATCCTGAGAGGGACAGGACACATTTAGATGCTTAGTATGGCATCGAAGCTTCACAGAACAATGGAAAATTCAGACCAAGTACTATCCAGAGATGTCACGTCCTGTTTTGTTGTATCTGGGGTAGTCACCTTGCTGCTCTTCTCTCACATGTTGATCACAAGCAGCTCCGGCACAGCTCCTACGCCAGGACAGTACTACAAGATTATCAGTGAGGCTGAATGAGTACAGCACTACTAGAAAGCCAAACATGGAACTGCCTGAAGGTAACATTGCCAAGTCACTCTAGCACGTAGTGGTGGACTTGGCCATTTCCCACTGTACAAACACGTGATGTACACTCAAAGAGTCACAGCCAGATGCTGGATGAAACCTTGACTCCTGATGCCCCTCAGCTATCCAATATGGGTATTTTAAATGTCTGAAGGTCTTATCTATAGAAATATTTTCACTTACACTCAACAGGAAGGTTTGCCAGCCCAGTATAATACAAGTAATGGAGAGAGGTAGTTACATGCCCAAGTTCAGTGTTTTCAACATTGCCAGCTCAGCTCTCCTCTTCTACATTGTCTTAACAAGTCTTGGGGGTCCCTAGGCTCCACAGCAGGCTGCCAGAATACAACCTACAACACCCTAAAAACCCCTTATATTTTTCCCTTTAAAAGCTTTTTACTGCATCTTGGTGTTAGGCAACGTCCTGCAATAGTGCCGTAACTCCTACAGCTCACTTGGTTCCAGAACAGGCCCTTTGGGGGGCCAAGCAAAACACTTACTACTGTGAGTTGTCCCACCAGAACGGGATGGTTCTTGGCAATACATCAGTAGATAAACGTTTGCAGAATCTTTTTTCTTTTGTACAAGCAAAATAGCCTTTGCATTTTTTCCACCGTGATCAAGGACAGCTGAAGAGGTCTTACACTCCTGTTGATAATGTTTCTATATTGTTTCACTAAATTAATTGTTCTCACTCAAAATTATGTTCTTAATATTACTTAAAGTAGAACAAAGTTTCATAGACCAAATCTAGCATCGATGTAAATTGTCATTTAAAAAAATACTTACAGTTAACTCTATACTGCAATAAATTAACCACTATTACTACAACTAAGAATAATCATCGGGTCTGGTAAAAAGGTTTTAGTTGTTGGACTTGGGATTTTTTTTGTCCTTTCTTTCAACAAGCGGTAACAAGAAACAGGGAGCATCCATATGGGATTATACAGTCTCAAAACATTATAAAAACACTATAAAACAGACATCAATCTTCATAACACAGTGTACTATGGAAATATTATCATATTCATTTTACAGACTACCAAACCAGATTAGAATGATAAATGACCTCCACAACCACATAATAAGGCACTGACAGAACCAGGGCTGAATTCAGAAGGACAATCTGAAGGGCAAAAGAGGTACTCACATAATCAACTCTTCAATTAGGGCCTACATGTGTATCCTCTTTGTTCTAGTCATGCTCAAAAACTAGCAAAAAATATACAGTAAGTGAAAACTATATTATTTTTAAGTGATGTGTTTGACACTGCAATTTACTATGTAAATGAAAAAGGGCACTTACAGGCAGCAGAAAGAAGGACAAAGGATTCATACTGAACAGTCAGAATTACAATGTAGAAACCGCTTTGAAAGCTTTGGTAGAAAATAATGTGTTTTGCATCGATTATTCATCTGCTTCTAAAACAACATGTCATACATGTCCAACAGGGAACGAAAGAGCCAGAATAAATGGCTTCTTTTCTACTAACTCTATCAAGAGGCTTGCTTAACAGATGTAATTCCAGAGGGATGATTTTGTCCATGAATAAAAAAAATACTCCAGACAAATCTATGATCATATCAAATCCATGAGAGAAGAAGAGAGAAAGTTTGGGTGGGATGGGGGTTGTTTTGTTATTAAAATCTAGTATTGAGCTCATTTACAGTATGAGCTATATTGGAGGAAACTCCGGACTGTCTTCTTAACTCACATAAACAGGCACTTTCTCAAGAAAACAGTCCCCACACATTTTCCAGAAGCTTGGCCTAATATTCAGAGTTTTTAAAAAAACAACAAACAGTTACACAGAAAATTTTACATTTAGGGAAAATATTTTAAAGATAGAATTATATTAAGCTTTACCCATATTTGTAGTTCTGATACAACGATTACTTGGAACTTGCAATTTCAGGACATGACAGGAGTCAAATCTGTACCTTCTACTACTGATCTGACAAAATAATTAACTAAAGGTGTGACTTCTTTCAACTCTAACATGATGCCTATAAAAGCCTCTTTTTTTGAGAGAGGAATTATATATTAAAAGACTATCACATGCATTCTAACAAAGGGTTTAGAGATAACTGCAATAGCAAATACTGTAATAAATTCAGTAACCTACCATCTGTTTGCGATTTACTGAGAAATATCGTACTGGCCCGTGGATGATCTGATGGGTTGAATTCCATGTTCAAATCTGGAAAGAAAGAAGGAAAGAAAGAATAGCAGAAAAACATTTATGAGTATCCAATGGTATACACTGATTTTCTGATTCTTTTTAATAAGACCAAGTTTACATATTGAAGCAGCTATTGTTAAACAAAATACATCTTGAGGCCCACTTTTTTATCTTTCCTCACATTTTTTGGCATGCAAATCATTTGCATCAACACAGCTTTGGGATTAGACTTCGGTTCTAAGGGCTGCTTTTGGATTACAATAGATAAAGCAGCTTGAAAAGTTGGTACACAAGAAGTTAGGAGCTATCCATTTACCATGGGTTTCTTCCCACCACACCCCAAAGCCATTGCTAAGCACAGGAACACAGCTTGTTATATGTAATTATAGAAGAATTTAGTATTATAAAACAAATACGCAACCCTCTGTAGATAGATGGGTTTCTAGGATTAGATGTGATTACAATAAGTAGGTGTTGCAGGTGAACGTAAACAAGTCTTGGCCAGAGTATTTTAAATGGTCAAGATTACAAAAACTTGGAACTTTCCTGATACTTCACAGATGAACATACTCTTTGCCATAACTACTTCTAAAAAAACTGCCAAAACCAAACCAGTCCTAAGAAACACCAGTTTAAAGACTCGAATCTACACAAGAGTCCTAAGAAACACTTACCAGTTTAAAGACTCGAATCTACACAAGCTTGAACATAGGAAGTTCCATCTTAACATGAGGAGGAACTGCTGTACCTTGTGGGTAGTGGAGCACTGGCACAGGCTGCCCAGAGAGGTGGTGGCGTCTCCCACTCTGGAGACATTCAAAACCCGCCTGGACACTGTCCTGTGCATCGTGCTGTAGGTGACCCTGCTCTGGCAGGGGGGTTGGACTAGATGATCTCCAGAGGTCCCTTCCAACCCTAACCATTCTGTGATCAGAGCTTATACAAATTTCTATGAATGTGATTTTCCCTGTCAAGGTTAAAATCCATTGAATTTACTTGTTTCCAAATTCCACTCCACTACCAATTTGTCAAAACTGTTATATGCCTGTATCCACTTGAAAACATCCTACTAAAAACAGCACATGATTTTTTAACATTTTCTTGCTCTCACAGTGTGGCTATCTCAACCTTAGTTCTCTTACATTCTTTTGATCTCCATATACACATTCTCTTCCACTTGATGCAGGCATTTATGCAAGACTACATATGAACACCAACAGGCTTATCTTCTGTGATTATCCCAGGCTTTCTACATTTGTCTCACTTCTCTTTCATATCTCTGTGAAAGCTCAGAAAAACTGGAAATTAAGCCCACGTCTTATGAAAAAACAACCAAGTCTTTTTGCCCAGAAGTCAAGTTCTACTGTCTACAGCCTTCCCTGCTCCTCCACCATCCGTCACCACACTCTCTTCTCCCTTTCCCTTTTATTTACTAATTTACTAGGTCTTCCACTTCCCTGCTTTTTTCTCCTGACCTCTCTACAAATCTACTTTCTATATGCTCTCTTGTTTTCCCTTTCATCTCCCCGCATTCTGCAGCCCATGAGATGAGCAGCCTGACATGCTGCTGGTACCTGGAATAAACGTGATCTTTCTTACAAGGAAGAACCCAGAAACACAGAAGAGAAATGCTTCAGTTGGAAAGGGGGCTTACTACTACTGTCAAACCCACAAAGGAAAAAAAAAAAAAACCTAAGAATTTGAAGGGAAAGTAATTTTGACTCTCCCAGAAACCAGTTTGCAGCCATGCTTGGAGAAGGTTCTAGGAATGTCATCTTACTACTTAAAGTTCTGACTTGAAAGGACTGTGAATTAGAAAGAATGTTTTCCTGTTAGTTTCTGCGTCTTATTTACACATAAAGAAGAAGGAAAAAAAAGAATCACCCATTGAGATCAATAGTGTTTGTAAAGATTGTTTTCCATTTCAGGATAGTTTTTCCATTAAGTGGAATTCAAGATGCAATTCATTAAGTAAACAGCAATCAGCATTTTAAAATGACAAAATACATTGTCTTTTATCATCCTCATCATCTTTTATCAAACAGCACAATACAAACGAAAACCCCACCTTTTTTAACCACTACAGGCAATCTTTCTACAAATGTTTTAAAGTACAGCATGGCAAATTCAGCCAACAGAACAGGACCAGCAACATGACACTGAACCCAACTTACAAAACACTGTCCCTAAACTGAGAAGCACTCCTACCTCTCAGGCCCAGAAAACTACCTGCTCAGGGAGTAATAACAACCGGGTACGGGCTTACAGTCTGCTTGCAGGGCCAAAAAGGAAGGAAAAGCCACATCTTGCAGTCAAGCTGCAAGATTTAACATTCCTGTGTTATAAAAGGCCATTATGCAGAAGCAGTAAACCAACAGAGGACTTAAAGTCTTTGTGGGGAAAAAAAAAAAGCACGAACTACCAAAAAGCACTGGCTCTCAGATAAACTGTTATTCTTCTGACAGGAGTTGAAAGGCAGCCAGCAAAATCCAACCTCGGCAGCTGCAGAGGCCAGACCAGGGATTCTGAACCATCCTGGGACAAGACAGCAGGCAGTGGCCGTGGCTCCTTCCCACCGCTGAACCCCACAAAGCGCCATGTGTCCTCTTCTCTCCACATCCCTTCTCTCACATCCTCCCCAGCAACAGCAGCCATCAGACACATCCATCTGTCTTTCTTGAACTGCCTGCACAAAAATCAGAGGAGGAGAACACGGGTACGGGGAGCAGCAACGCCTGCCAGGGCAGGTTACCCAGCACAAGGTGGCCAGAAGAAGAGAAGTACTGCTGAGAGAGGCTGGCTGCCCACCTGCCCTTTGAGGAACAGCATAGGTCTCACGGGCTTGCAGACAGAAGAAAGTACTAACTGTTAAATGTGTACCTGCAATTCAATCAATCCCAGCTCCTCCAGGAAAAAGGATCGGCCAAGTCAGAGCATCCCACAGGCCACCTGTGGGACCACACCGCTCCATGCCACCACTGCTGGCATACAGGAGCATTAGAATGGATGAAGTTTCACAACACGTAAGATTTCAGTCTCTAGTTGATCTTAGATGCCTTAATTTATTGTTCAACTTGAAAACAAATGCCTTTTTGAATCTGGCAGCAAATTCTTACAAATCTGTGATTAGAAACCATGTTACAGAAGAAAGAGATCAAATGATAGACACATATCTGAAGCTAGTAGCTCATCACCAAAGGGCAATAGCCATCAAAGGGTTACCTCCATCCTAAAGAAATTATCTATTCATACTGCTTTAGTGTTGCCGGTAGTCTTATTCCTTCTAGTATTTGAACAGTATCACGAAAAACAGCCACAATATGAAAGGTTTCCCATTTTGTAACGGAGTAGTCAAAGATAAAGAGAGATTTAAGGTCACCCAAGGAGCACTCTACTATTCAAAAGAGAGGAAAATGACAGCCAGGATTTCAATTATTGAAATCTGCACAAAAATTTTCTCCATTGCTAGCAGTCTGCTCTGTGACTCATCATAGCCTTACAAATGAAAGATTTAAAGTGGGTACTTCTTCCAACAGTTACCCTGCACTCCAAAAACAGCTTTTAAAAAAAAGGCACTGTCTCATAGACAGTCCAAATCAAAAATCTTTCACTGTAGACGTTCTTCCTGGTTAAACAGACGTCAGAAAATATTCCACATCTTTCCATAGTTCAAAGATCAGGTTTTCTTTTTTTGGTTCTAAAGGGCTGTTAGGTTATGCAAAACATAACTCCCATTCTGTAAACATCTACACAGTGTGATGCCCTGTGAAAATTTCAGGGTTTTTTTCTTCTCAGGATTAGGAACCAAAGGTGTGTGTCTATAAATACATGTATACATACACATGCATATATCTGTATCTATATAGATGTCTATTTAAATCAAACCTAATGTTTGGTTAGCCAAAGCAAAGTCAGCCTCAGGTACAATTCAGATAAGAGATCATGTGCCTAACAGAATTCATACAATTTTGGAGGACTTGGGCAAGACCAGAGTTACAAATACATGCAAATATACTTAGGACTGCATTCCCTTCCTTGCTTAGCAGCATGCCAGAACAGCAGGTGTTATAATGGACATTCTGATTTATCACGTTGAAATAAATTCACTCTTTCTCCAAGAAAAAGAAATGGTTTTGCATATAACTTAATTCGGTACATAACTGTGCTGAAGGTTAAGACAACCACCAGAAGATCACGATGAGATTCACCCTGTACACGTGAGAAACTTAGTTCCTAAAGCCACAGTAGCTGCACTCAAACATGACCATAAAAAGAAGCGAACGGTAAAACAGTTCCGTTTCAGACTTCAGCTAAAGCCCAGGCAAGGTTTTAAATCTTAAAACAAGATCTTAAAAACCATTACTGAGACCAAAAACACTGAATACAGCCTTAGTTTGTGCTTTTTAAAAGGATAAGAATAAAGTTCAAATCAGTGTAGACGAGAGCTACAAGAACGACTGGAGGACTGCAGAAAATGCCTTCAAATGAGAGTCTGAGTTCAAACCATTTAGCTGATGAAAAACGAAAACTAGGAGGTTTTCTGTAAGTCACGTGTACCTTCACAGGGAGAGAAGTACTAAAAGCTCTCTCTAACCTAGCACACAACATTACAAAAACAGTAGAAAATGAAAGCAGAAACATCTTAATTATGAACTTGGATGAAAAAAGGGGGAGGATAATTAGGCACTCAAGCTCCACACCCAAAGAACTCAACTTATTTTGATGTTTTCCCTTTCTAGAAGATTTCTTCAGCCAAACATCTTTAGGCTTTAGTCCAGTATGAGTATTTAGGCTCAATTTAAGAATAACTACATGCAAGTTACTGGCTTATGATTCATACACAGGTCAGATCAGATGATCCCAGGGGCCTCTAGCTTAAGTTCTATAAAATCTTCAGAAATAGCAATATTTAAATTATTAAGCACAAAACCTCAGCAAATCCCAGTGGCACAGCTGCAAACTTTCTAAAATTGCACCAAACTCTGCTGCAATTTTTCAGAAAGAGCTACA